GCCCCCTCTCCATTCCCAGTCCCATACCCCTGAGGCTCTGGAGCAGAGCAGACCAACACTGGGGAATCGATATTCTCACCATCACTCTCTCTTCCTCTCTGCATCTATCTCTCTATTCCTCATCTCCATGTCTCCATGGCCAGCATGCTCTGCTAATAAATGGAGGGCAAGGCTTTCAGCAGGGGAAGAGGACACTGGTAAGGGCCGAATGGAGAGAAGGGAACGAAGAGGAGGAGGGCAGCATAGATTGTCTTTACTCTCCCAGTCCTCACAGTCACTTTTCCTGTATGGTTTTAGCATTCCCTCTTTCTCCAGCACTGTAACACTCTCCATGCATAAAGGTCAGTTTAAGCGAGTGGGATATTTTACCCACACCTTCTGCTTAAACCCTGGTTGTGACAGATGAGGAGTAAAAACATTCAATGGCAGAGTTTTGGCTTCATCCAGCAGCATGTTATATTTAGATAACACATCCCATAGTGATCACATTCCTCTGCAGTGCAAAGGCAGGTGGCTTGTAAACCCATTCATCATATGAGTGTGTAGCATAATTTTTTAAAATCATTTTGTATTACAAAAATGTTCTCTGTAATTTACAATTAATATTATTTGAATGTCTTGTTCAAAAGTATATTTGCCCTCTGTTTAACCAGCCAGAGAAATTCTGGTCGAGTTATGAAATACATTTCTGTGTGGAATTGTTTTGATGTGTGTTCATGGGTGCAAACACATCTGGTGTGTGTGTATGTGTGTGTGCGTGCATGCAAGTGAGAGAGCATGCGGATGCGTGTGCATGCGTGTTTGCAGCAGCAGTTCAGGGCTGCTCAAAGCATGCTGGGAAGCCTGTCACTGCAAATCAAGCAAGGGAAAATCACCCAAGTGCACAGAGGAGAGAACCCACCATCCCCCACCTTCTCTGTCTGTCTCCCTTTCTCTATTAGTCCCTCCATATCTCTTTTTTTTCTCACACTCATTTATACCACTCCACTTCTACAGTACTTTTTCCATTTTATGAAAATGTAATTTTACTGTGAAAAGAAATGAAGGACAAGAGTAAGAAATCATGCAGAGCTTCCTCTCAGCTGTTGTAGGAATTGTTAGCTTGTATGTTCATTTTCTGTCCCTCATTGCTCTAATGTGTTCCAGTAATAATCAGAAAATTTCCTTCAGAGTACACCTATAGCCTATAGCTTGTAAGGAAAAAGAAAAGAGTGGGAATGCTGATATAGAAATATAACTATGCTTAGTGATAATGGCAATATAATGATGCTTAGTGTCTGTAAGATACTGGTTTCTTAATTACTAAACAAAAAACATTCACTCAAGTAGATCAGCACACTTTGCTTCAAATTATTTAGAAATTGTAACACAGATTTTTAATACAGCATTTTCCAAAAAAAAAACTTCTAAATCCTGCACTTTATGATCAGCAGGTGAATCCTTTGGAACTTCTGCTTCAGATGTTATTACATTCACCTCAAATAGAGATAAAGAAAATGGCTCCTGCTAGTCATCATACCTAAATTAGAATTTACCACATTTAAAAAGAAATGGCCTGTCATGTGTAAAGCAAAACACGATAGACATTTGCAAATGCATTTAACAACATAATATTTTATGTATTAAATTTACAATGATACGGTCCATATTTTTAATCAAGTTTTGTCTGATACTGAAATTTACAAAATACGTTTAACGCGTATAATAATTTTGGCTCGATTCTCAGTTATAGTTAATAGTAACAGTCAGGACTGCAGATGAACAGTTAACCCATGACTGTATAATAGAACGACAACCCTCAGTGCAATACCCTGTAAATATACCATTGTATATGCCTATACTTTTATATTTATAAGTACTTTATTCTTATTTTTTCCTAATACACATTCCTTCTTCTTGTTTGTACATTCTTTTTCTTTTTTGTTTTCTTAGATTTATCTCATCTACTCACTGCCTTGCAGAATAACAGTGTACATACACATTGAGACCCACTGTACTGGAGTCAAATTGCTTGTGTGTCCAACACCCTCGGCCAGTAAAGTTGATTCTGATAGTAATTCATACAGTATCAGTAATAGTAGAGCAATATCAGAATAGTAATTCATATAAGATGTAAATCTTGTATGTGTAACTTGCGCTGTGGGGGGGGGAGTATTTACTTTTCACTTGTAAGCACTGTTAAGCACTTTCAGTGTTAATCTGCTCTCCCTGTCCTTCACAGGCCTGCTACATGTTCGCCAGGTCCCTCACTTGAACTGCCTGGCAAGTCAGCTCCCTGACCACAAGGACCTGGCCTTTAAGCTCAAGAGAAAACAGTTCAGTATTGAGGTATGTTGTCAAGGATACTTACTTATCCAGGCTTTCTTCATAAGCAAAACTTAGCATTCCCTGGTTCCACCCTCTTGCTACATTTTTAATGCTGTCTCTCCATCTGAATTTTTTGTTTTGTTGCCCCAGTTTCACTTCTCTTAATGCATCTTTTGTAACTTGGCAGGTAACCATTAACCTAAACCGGCAGCTAAGTTTATATGCAAACTAATAATTTATTAAGAAAGCCATTACATTTGTTCCATTCATCATCCTGTGTTTGTTTCATCTGTTTTTGAGTAGAAAATCAAAGGTGAAGCTATTGATTATACACTGTCGCTGACACACTTCTTAAGTGAAATGTTTTGAGATGGTAGAGTGACCAGTGGCTTTACCCAGAAACCTGCACCCTGTAGCTTTACCTGTAGCCTGTAAGCCAATTTTGAATGGCAGTGTGTTATCCAATGATCTGGAGTGAGGTGGTAAAACTAAATCAGGTGTTAGAAAATACACAAAAAAATGTTCTTCTATGAGTTTTTTATATTTAAATTTGTAGCTTAAACTCGTTTGAGCCTTACAGTGTACAGGACATACAGCACAGTTTGCTGCATGAATGGCTGTTCCATTTCTTCATTCATTTTGATTTATGATTTCTTAACCCCTTTCTCTTCCTGTCTGAGGCACATCCATTTTGCATGTGTCACATCATCACTCTCATTCAGAGCAATCAATCTGTCAGTGAACTACCACTCTAGAGACAAATTAAGGGGCCCTCCTCCGAGCGCAGGCTCTTGATTGGTCCTCATTACATTATCATTACCTTGTCACACCCTCTGGTCCTTGGCTCTTAGTCATTCCTATTGTCTCAGGCAGGAGGTGAAGTGGAAAAAGAAATGCCCACATCCTCTGGTCAGCCCCTTCTCATTTTCTGCCACCACTATCCTTCTTTTTCTTGCCTTCATTGGCCCACTCCCCCTCCTTTCATTGACCCCCTGTATAGGCCACTCCAGCATAGATTTATAAGGTCTGTAAAAGTCAAAGTGGTTATCCTCAATGATCTTTTAATTAGGCCCCTATTTTGGACAGGCCAGAGGAGGCAAAGCGTCAACCATCCCTATAGCTCTATGGGGCCTGGATACTGTGTCATATATCCCAGCAGCTCCTTGTTAAGACCAGGATTTGTCTGCCTTCCTTGTTTAAGTAGCATTATTGGATTTTTTTTTTTTTTTTAAACATGATCCATACTCTCGTTGTGCCATCAGAACCTAGTTGTAAAAAAACAACTTTGTGATATCCCAGTGGATTTTTCAAAATCCTCCAGGGTTTGGAGATTCGAATCTCGATCCCTGCAGTCCACATGTCGAAGTGTCCTTGGGCAAGACACTGAACCCCCAAGTTGCCCCCGATGGTTAGAGCCATCGGTGTGAGTTGGCGCCGCAGATGGCTGCCTCGGTTCTTTACCGGAAGCAAATTCCTTGTGTGTGTAACATACTTGGCCAAATAAAGGTGATTATCCTTATTATCCTTCACAGTCCTTGGACAGTTTCCCAGAGAACATTATGTCGTTTCACCATTCAAGCATCAAATCAGTCAAAACAGATTAGTGATTGTGAGGTGCTATCATGTTCTTGTGTTCTCGTCTTTGGTATTGCGATTGTCTGTCATTAATTTGTATATCGCCCTAGATGGAGATGTGATCAAGGCATGAGTAATTGTTGGCTCTGCATCCGTTTCTGCAGAGGCATTGATATACTGCACCTGTGTATAAGCTCTCACGCAGGACTCCTGATATACTCTGGCTGTGTGGCTTATTATATAAGCTACTGTGTTTGACCTGTTGGTCCACTGCCTCGATGGGTTGCTGACTGACACATGAGATGATGATTGGATTTTAAGCCCAGTGTCTGACATGTGACAGCCCACACCATCCCTGCTAATCACCTCATTTACTAAATCTATGGGACTCCTCTGCCTGGGGCCGCATAATACAGCATTCTCTCAGTGAGTTTTCTTCTTCCACGCATCTACTGTGGTAAAGCAAATCTACTGCTGCTATGCACTTCTTTCAACTTTTGACTCCTTTACTGTATTTAAAAAGCCACAATCTCTTTGCATATCATCAATCTGTATTAATGGAGGTGACAGGTGATTGACAATGCTAGCTCTTCATTAGCTGGGTCAGCCAGCTACATGTCACCACAAATGCACCTGGAGTCATGCTGATAACTAATTTCGTAGCTGCTGTCTGACTCATACTTCTAGCGCCGAGCACTTCAGGAACGCGGAAAAGTATAAGTTTTCCAGCACATGGAGTACAGGTCTTGTCAATGAAGGCACGCTCTTGTAATGTCATAATGAATATTCTCTTAATTGTAAAAATTTTAGTATGTCGATTCTCAACGCCACACTCAGCACCGTCATCAATGATCTGCTGGTTCTTTGATATGGTTGCCATGGCAATGGTTAACTTTTCGAAGAGTTCAAGCTGCGGTTGATGAGTAGTTATTAGCCATGATGCCCGAAGCCAGAATTAACCCATGGCCCTGTCGGAGCAGGTAGGGGAGTGTTAGGTGTTTAGACAAGATTAACACATAACCATAGACACATGCACACACATTGCTTGCTCCCACAGAATGAGATTGACATTCATGCAAGGGCACAAGCACATACTTACTAAGAAGTGCATGCAGGAACATACTGTATTTGACATAAACTCAGAATTTTCCCACTTAGTCATATTAAGCTGACACAGGCTTCTGTCACTAGTCTCACAATGCAAGATGCTTTGAGGATGAAACTCTAAAGAATTCAGATGGCATGCAATTACATTCTCCTTACCTTTGTTTGACCCTTTAAACTGACAGGCAATGTGCCTGTGGGGTACTGGGGTGCTAGAAGTATAGTAGTATGGGTAGTATAAGATTTTTTGTGTAACATTAGTCTTCTCTTAAAGAGGCCATTTAGGCGTGTCTGTTGCTAAGCAATGCCACTGTGGTTGTGTAGTCTGTACACATGTATTGGCTATATGACTTTCTAGTATCAGTGTTATGTTAATATTTCTTTATTTTTGATCATTTGTGAGTGTGTGATACTTTAAAGTCCTCACTGGAGAAGCTCAGGACAAGAAAGATGCGAAAGAGGAGGATTTTGTGTGATAAAGATCCCACGCTGCAATACATCAATTTAATGTAGGAATCACTCTACTTCACAGCATGTGGCTTGTAAATACACTTCACATCAATGTCTGAGTCAGAATTACCAGCCCAGGTTTTTCTGAAAGTTTCAATATGTCTAACTTCACAGTGAGTAACTTTAGCCATGCATGAGAGAAAACAGCCCCTCATTTATGTGACTGGGACCACTTCTGTGATGCAGATGCAGTGGCATTGCAAAGGGCACTGTCAAAAAAAATACCAAGGTGCATGGGCAAAAAATAAATATTTCAAAATTAAAAATTCATCCTGGCTCAAATTTTGCTGAAATGCAGGCGACCAATCAAATGCACACAGTCCTGGTAGGTTACTGTGTAATATGAATGTCAGTTGTATTTCTAATGTTTATTTTGTAGTGAAAGGTAAAATAATTGCTGCAGCGATATTAGCAAAGTGAGTTGTAAAAAATGTTACAGTATTATAAATTGTTATGCAGTGTTTTGCTGACTTGGAGAAACCTATAGATATATTATTCAGACTTCATGGATTGTGATTCATTGTCTCACTGTTACCTGCAACAACACAACCCCATCAATGCAACAAGGATATTTTTGTAACTTTCACACAACTCTGTAATCTCATGCTGCCCTGTGACACTTCCATCCCACATGACATCAACCGAGTAAATTCCTAAGGTGAATTAAGGAGAAGAGGAAGTTGAACCAAAAGAGTCTGAAGGAGGTGCATGTTTCTTGGCATGTCCTCAAAGCAACTTTAAAACAAAGCTTGTGTCTGCCCCCTGTTGAAGCCTGCGGGTGCCGAGGGAAGGGTGTTAATGGACCTATGTGAGGAGCAGAGCGAAAGCCTGGAGAGGAGGGGGCATGCATTTAAGACGAGGAGCAGTTAAGTGATTCTCAGGTCAGGTCTAATTAAAATGAGGGCTTTTCCTCAGAGGCACCAAACCATCTTATTGATAGAGAAGTAAGAAGGGACGGAAAGAAAGAACTGTACAATGCAGAACAAGTTAGACAGAGACCCAGTCCTGAGGGCTTGTTTGCGTATTTGTTTATATGGTTGTTTGTATCTCATGCCTGGTCATATATCTGCCCCCTCATGTCTCAGATAATGCTTGGCACTGAAGCTCAGAGTAAAGCCAATGTTGAAAAGAACTCGTGTGGAGAAAGAACATTCAATATTTGCTTGCAATGGCAGATCACAGTTACTATTTGCAACTAAATACAAACAACAGACTTACTGGATGTCCTGAACCTATTAGTAGTATGCATAACATCCTTAGGCTCTCCATACAGCTGCCTGTGGTTTGTACGTCCGCCTTTGGAGTTACGATCAGATATTGATGGACCTTAGGAATAATATTTCACTTGAATAATTTATATTTCCTCGCTTCGCGCACCCCAAGCTCTGTCACATTTTGGAATGAGGTGTGCTTATGGTTTGTGCATGTATGAGAAAGTGACAGAGAGAGAGGTCTGTGCTGGCCAGTCAGTGGGACGCAATCGTATCTCTCAGCCAAACAATATTCACAACATACATCAGATTTGCATCTATTATTTAACAGGAATTTCATCTATTCTGCAAATGTGCATGTGTGTTTAAAGGTGTCTATGCTGAGTCTTGGGTGTGGGGGTTGCAAGTGGGTGCGTTTTTGTTTGTGTGAGTGTGTGTGGCGTAGGGGTGGGGGGTTGTTTATTGTGGAATTGGTATGATTGGACCTTCAAGTGTTTAGGTTTGCTGCATAATTGCATGGACTGATTGTTTGCTAATTTATTAAATGAAAAAAACAAACCCTATTCACTAATGGTATTCTGCTAATGCTCAATCTCATAAAGAGTCCACTGAGTTTTATAG